TTTGCGAAATAATCACTTAAAGAACTTTTTGAAAAAGTCCCCTCAGATGACAAAACCGATTAGGCTTAAAAAATCTGCATAAAAATATTTAAAATTCTTTTCAACGGAATCGTAATAATGAGATTTTTGATGCTGTTTTTTTACTTTTTTCAAAGATTGATTTTAGAAAAACTTAAATAACTGGGCCAAAACTTTTCTGATTAAGACTTATGGGATCTCGGTAGAAAGGTATTTCCACACTATTTTAAATTTACGCGTAAAAAAAAGTCATTCGTGTCCCTTTTTTTTTTTTCAAATACCAACACATCCTTATTCAACTTTGAATGATGTTCGTTCATCCTACCTTTCTCTTTCATCCTTTGAATGAGCTTATTAGCAAAGAAATAAAAAGGGTGAGAAAGTACCTTTCCAATGATACCTCACAAGTCTAAATTTGAAGAGTTTAGGTTCAGTTATTCCAGTTTTTCTTACACCAATCTTTGAAAAAAATTAAAAAACAGCATCAAAAATCTCATCATTACGATTCCGTTCAATTTTTTTTTTTTTATGCAAATTTTTAAGCTTAAATCGTTTTGTCATTTGAAGGGCTTTTTTCAAAAAACATCTTTACGAATCTATTTTTATTCATAAAAAAACTCCATTTTTGGAGGTATTATCAAATCGGTCCGGCTCGCTTAAACCTTAATATTTTTCCGAAATATTTTGGTGGACGTTTTAAAATATAATAGATTTTATAATTCCAATGGAAAAACAGTACCGATTTTTTTTTTTTTTTTATGGGTTGTGATGCAGTCTAATGTACATAATATGCGAAAAATATAAAGTGGTTATTAAAAAGTGCTTTCATTTATTGCCTTTATTAAAATTTTGAGCTTTTACAAATGGTTTATTAATGGTTCAAATCAAAGCTTATTTTGAGTTTATCGCAAAGCTATTTTATGAAGCTTGAAACACCCTACTCTCCATTTAAATGCACGCATTGTATACATGCAATAAATTACTTATATATAAAGTGAGATTGCAAATATGTAGTCATATATATATGTACATATGTATGTACATACAATATTGTGAGTAAAAAGTTTTTTTTTTGTATTGAAGCCCATATTAGCAAGAGAAAAAAGTTACAGCAGCCAAGCCAACGCACTTGGCAACAAGCGAATAGTAAACTTATGCATATAGCTACATACATACATTCATATGAATATGCATACATACATACACACTCATAATAATGTACATGCATAGTTGCAATATTTCGACACAAATGGTACGAGCGATGAACGAATGCACTTGGCAACAGCAACTGTTGCTGGTTTTTGATGCGTTGCGCATTCGCGGAAATTGCGAACAACAAGTAAATGCATAGCAAACATATAAATTAATGTCTGAATGAAAATACTTTTATACATACATGAACATATGTATGTGTACATAAATGTATGTATGTACTATATACATAAGATGCATAGAAGAAGTATGGCGGTGTGAGTAAGCTATGTGGGATACGAATGCACGGCAATTTAATATAACAGCAATTGTTGCTTTCAATACTATATCGTATCAGGAAAGTGAAATTACAAATTGTCTTGTGTAAAATCATATTTCAGACCAAACACCGTCCAGATATATGCAACACTTACACCTCCGAGGAGTTGGCAACAAGAAAGCGTTCCACAGATATGCCATACAATGGGGCTAAGCGAATTTTAAAATTTAGGAAACTTAACCACGAGCCTATGTCTATCTCCTTATTGTCAATGGCGTTGGCGTCCCCCGTTACCCAATACAGTTGTACTTGAGTATTGGCCATAACTGGATTGCACTCTACCATCTACCATACTTCATGAGGAAGTGCTGTGCGATATTAGTGAATTTAGAGTAGCCTGACTGCCAATATTACTAATCAATATATCCGCTGCATTTTTTACGGTAAAACCCCCGCCTGGAAAATATAACAATACTCCGGCAGTTTGCGAACAGTGTTGCCAGAACTTTTCCGGAGAAAAGGCTAATCCCTCAAAAAAACAAAGCTAAATAAAAAGTAGTCAGATTGCAGCGAGTCCCATAGAACAACTGGTACAATGAGGGGCGTCAAGAAGCTGCAGAGATAGAGATGACGCCTACAGGGCCACATTGCTATCGGGCGCAACGCGTGCTACATGAGGCCGCTATAGGGAACTGAAGAGGGAAGCTAGACGTATTTTCCGCAAAAAGAAGAGAGAGGCCGAAAGACGTGAGTGCAAAGAGCTTGAAATGCTGGCCGACAGGAAAAATACCCGAAAATTTTACCCAAGAATTAGGCGACTTACGGAAACTGCTGGAAATGGCCTGCATGCATCAACTCCTATGCAGAAAATGGTCAGACGAACGCATGCCCGACGACTGGAATTTAAGTGTGCTCTGCCCAATCCAGAAGAAAGGCGAACCCGCCACTCGCACCAACTACCACGGAATCAGCCTTCTAAGCATAGGTTACAAGGTCTTATGGAGTGTATTGTGTGAATCACGCCGTCAACGAACTGATTGGGCCTTGTCAGTTTGGCCTTGGCCTGGTAAATCTACCATAGACCAGGTATTCACAATACGCCAAATCTTGGAAAAGACCCGCGGGAAAAGGATCGACACTCACATTATATTTGTCGACTTTAAAGCCGCTTTTTACAGCTCTAAAAGGAGTTGCCTATACGCCGATATGTCTAAATTTAGCATCCCCATCAAACTAATTCGACTGTTTAAAATTCGGCTTTGTTGAGCAATACCACCAGCTCCGTCCGAATTTGGAAATACTTCTCTGAGCCATTCGCTACCAAACGGGTGTTCATGTGCTTTTTTTTTAATCCAATGTTGTAAAAGATAATAAGAGCTGCGGAACTGAACCGCTCATGAACAATTTACTACAATTTACTGCAATTGCCTGCCTTTTCCTGGTTGGAGCGAATGGGTCTGGTGGTAAACGAGGACAAGACGAAGTATCTTCTGTTATCAAACAAACAGTCAGCACATTGGCGCTTCGGCACCCACGTCGCTGTTGACAGTTATAATTTCTAGAAAATAGAGTATTTCGTTTACTTGGGAACCAATATTAACACTGATAATAATGCCGGCATGGAAATCTAACGCAGAATCACTCTTGCCAAAAAGTGCTACTTTGGAAGCTCGTGTCTCGTCCACGTCAGTGATTGGGTTCCCAAAAAGGCATTCACAGGTCGAGAGTCAGTGTAAGTCTATACAGACCCGCTGTTAATGCCGTCTATTGCCTGTCGGGTCCAGAGGTTGCTTTTTGAACCTCTAAACTTCGTCCATTAGTTCGTATAGATGCCTTGAGACGTGCCTTGACGATGGCTCCGTCGCAAGCAGGTGTCTATTCGGGTACCCACGTCTGTGAGACCCTACTAGGAATGTGCTATGATCAGTATACTCCTCATATTGGAGCTTCGTCATGTAAATGGTGTTGTGACGACATCTGAAAATATCCGTTGGCTGTCTGAAGTGTTTCGACAGGTCTATAGCTTCGTCCACTGCGTCCTACTAGTACCGGCAACCATAAGGGCGCTGCCGAATTTAAAACCGACTAGCTAATTACCTTGTACGTCGCCAGCAACGTTTCTTTGTCTTTGCCGCAGGTGCTGCCGGCTTTGTACTCTATTGACAATTCAGGTTGTATTCGCCGTGAGGGAGCGCAGACTATCGTAAGTAACTCCGAGAATTTTTGGGTTATTTACCGTCGGTATTTGTACGCCATCCACGTGAGTTCCCAGCTTTGGTCTGACCTCCTTGGTCCAGGAGGTAAAAATGGTTGCCGAGGATTTTGTGGGGGAGAGGGTTAGGCTAATTGCAGTGAAGAATCGAGAAAGTTCGGAAAGATAACCGTTTACTTTCGAGCAAAAGTCATCAATCCCATTCCTAGGCGCGATTAAAGAGCAGTCGCCAGCATAAGATACAATGGAAATGGTGGTTGAAAGAGCTTTGAAATATAGTTGTTAAACAGTAGCGGAATAGTAGCAGTTATCTCTAAAACTTACTGACGAATGTCTACCACCCTGCAGATTCGCTGAGCACCGTTTGAGTTCCTGTGGGAGAGAGTAACGCTAGTAGTATGGAGTGGCGGATGGTATCAAACGGTTTTGACATATCCAACGCTACTAGGGGCAGTTTCGGTTTAGGCCACGAGTTATCTGAGTGCTTATGGCGTTAAGTGCTGTTGTTGTGCTACGCACTTTACGGAACCAATGACGATGCCTCGCTGGGATCAGGTGGGTTAGGGGAGCCGCAAGGCCTCAATTATCTTCGCTATCGGGGAAAGAAGGGTAATCGTCGTCTTATCGTTGACTCTCCCTTGTTGGCCGATTTCCCCGGTTTGAGCAATGGGACCACTGGCCTCATTTTCCGTATGTTCGGAATGATGAGAGTAGCCATGGACAGGTTGAGAAAATTGGTGAGCTGGTCTACTCCCGCAGGACCCAATTTTTTCAGCAACAACATGCATATTCCGTGGGGCCTCCTTCCGGGTGTTGAGTAGCCCCATGGACGACAAACGTTTAAGAGATTTCGCCGACCAAAACAAGGTTAGACCGCCGAAACAGCAGCCCTTAGTCGGGTAAAACCCAAGTCATTCCGGTACGTAAGACCGCCTGCTATGGGAATGTTGACGCAATCATCACCGAACTTGATTAAGAAGTTTCAGTTCAAAAACAAATATTAGGACTTTCTTCTAGCAAACGACCGATATGAACTAGTATTGCGAAAGGTCGATTTGAATTTCTAACTTGTTTTGAAGTTAAAATAATAGAATAATAGAATAAGTATCTATGTATGTATGTATGTATAACAATTTTTCCACCGGTAACATCTAATTAGTTGTTATTCATTTGTAAATAAATAAAAAGCCGTTAAAAACGATAACTGATAATATACACGTGTGCAAATAGTAAATGATACAAATGTTTATATGCAGGTATGTAAATACATATATTTGAAAACAATTTTATGACACTTACCTCGATAAAGTTCTGTAATTGATTGACAGCAAATAAAAAAGACAATGCCTGCCTGTCTATAATTGTTTCAATTGTATGCCACTGTACGTCGCGTGTGGAACGAAAAGAAAATGGAACACTGCACCAAAAATTAATGCACATTCATACATACATGTGTATGTATGTATGTATGTAGAAATATATTTTTATATGCGGATTATGTACGTCTATATGTATTTGTAATGTTGACGCTGTTTATGCCTCAAATTACTTTGTTTTTTTTTTGTATTTTTGTCTGCTGTGAATGCACGTTTTTCGGCTGAAAGCTTTTTTGTTGTTATGCGCTGATAAGCTGATAATAGCGTTCGTAACGTCTGTGTTGTTTTTACATTTTATACACACAATAATAATTATTTGATTTCTATTTTAGTCGTTTTTGGGCTTATCTGTTTTCTGGTTTGTTTGTTTTTTTTTTTTATTCTCTTGTTTATTTCATATATTTGTATTTTAATACTTTTATTGTTTCACCTTTTCTCATATAAGCAGGCACTTTTTAAATTAAACTTAATTAATATTGTATTTATGTAAAAGTACAAGTGTTTTTTTGTTTTTTTTTTTCACTGAGAAAGTATAGTTTATTTGTTTTTGAAAGCTACAGGAACCGATTCACAGGAAGGGTTATTATTATACCTTACGCATACTCGTATGAACGAACACATGCCGATATTTATTTGAATAAGCGTAAAAGGGTCGTTTATTTAAAAGTTTGCGGTGCACATTTACTTTTAATCTTTGTTCTTGTTTTTCGGTTTTATCAGCCAATTGTTATTTAATCGATTTATTGACAGCTTTTCCTATCGCTTTTTTTAATTCTTTTCAGATTTCTCGAGATTTGTATGACACCCTGTGAATTGAACAAAATGTGAAATCACGATTAATTTTTTTTTTGCATACATTTAAATATGTTAATCAAAGTCAATTAACTAGAATTGAAAATTAAAAAAAAAAAACTATATGTACAGTAACTAGTGTCTCGATTATCTGAACTGGTGAGGATCAAGGCGAATTGAAAACTCGGAAGATCTGGTAAAAGAAAAAAGTTTACAATATGAAATACGCCTTTTATTGTGATTAATTAAAATTTTGTACATTATAATAAATTTTCTAAAAAAAGCGAATTATTTTAAAGTGGCAGCGATTGTAGAATAACGGCTGGATAAAAGAATAAGGTAAGCGCTATTGATAATAAATGACAACAAGTACTTAGTTTTTAAACACAAAACAAAACCGACTTTAATTCTCATATGAAAAATTTAAGAGTACCGTTAATTTCTTCATGATCCAATGATCGGATCTGAACCATATTAGCATGGGACCACCTCTGAGATACCACCTTTTCTTAAAAAAAAAATACAAGAATTATAGAAATCGGTTAACGTTGTACATATGTATGTACATAAAAAATAATAATAATAATAATATTCCGACGAACTGCTAACCTATTTCTGTTTTGAAGTCGGTTAAAATAAAATAATTTAAGAATTTGGGGAACTACATAGTAACATGCTCCGAGACTTTGGAGAAATGGTCGCAGAAGACACTCTTAACACGGTGTTTCAGGTAGGCACTCGGAAGTGCTACCAATTAAAAATGCTATAATTTTGTCTGTTTTGCTTGTGTTTTATTCAAAAACATTATTTCATCATAAGAACTAGTCAACGAGAACAACGAATATCGATAATCTTGCAGCTCTATTCCGAACAACAAATGGATCTAATGAGGATAGGATAACCAGATGAGTCGAAGGAGAAATCAGGACACTGCATTTTTGAAAGTTAGCACAATCACTTTCTTTTCCATCAGAATTCAGTTTTTACGCTCAATTGTGAGATTTGAGAGTTCTCAGTTGAGAATTGTTGGATGTAGGCAAGGTCGCCACAAAAGCTTAACACCTTTAAGTACAATAAGTACGATGGCATCCTGACCGGGCGACTTGAAACTGTCAAAAGGCTCAATAGCATATCTTATGGCATCTTCATTCGCCACAGTTCTGGCAACAAACCAGTTGTATCTACATTGACACAGTAGTTTCCCTGCAAACCAAAGTTCCCGAAATCTTTAGGAGTATCTGATTTCTTTAACGATTTTTTTCCGAATCTTCAAAGAAAATTATATGAAGTGGTTGACACGAACTCGTAAAGAAATTTCGGTACGAAAAATAAAGAAAATTCTGAAAAAAGTCTGCAAGAAATTCTTCACATCCCTGCAAACCAAAGTTTCCGAAATCTTAACGAAATCTTTAGGAGTATCTGATTTCTTTAACGATTTTTTTCCGAATCTTCAAAGAAAATTATATGAAGTGGTTGACACGAACTCGTAAAGAAATTTCTGTACGAAAAATAAAGAAAATTCTGAAAAAAGTCTGCAAGAAATTCTTCACATAGCAGCATTATTTTCATTTCTTTACCGATTTTCTTCCGAAATTTCGTAAAAGA